TTCACAGCCACAGGAGTGGAGAGAAACACCTTGTAGGGTCCTTCCCAGGTTAGTTCCTTAGGCTACCTGCTTGACCTAGACGGTATCGCTGGACTCAAACACGGGGAAACTGATGGTGGACTTAAGAGGTCAGCTGGGTCCATCAGATAGTCTGATAAACAGTCTGTGTGGAGAACTGGAGGGTCTGGAGTGACTTGAGAAAGGAACGGTTAGAGATTTCTGCCAACTGCTGGTCTCTGAGCCTGGGAAGCGGTGGGGGAGGTCTTCCAAACATAGCCTCACAGGGAATAAATCCTTCCCTATGTGGGTGCAGGGGCCCAAAGCAAGGCAAAGGAAGGAAACCTAACCACTCTTTGCTGGACTCTGGGTCACACAGTCATTAGACAACCAGTGTTCTGGTGTTCCTTGGAGGAGGCCCTTAACGCCATGGAGTGCTATGGTATATGATCTTGACTCTGATTTTTTTGTTTTTTGTTTTATGTTTTCCCCATTAGACTAACAGTAGCTGCCACAGCTCTTAGACTGGTGGGCCATCCTGTGGCTCCTGGTCCAATTGTTTGGGCAGTGTATCATAGGACATTTCCATAGCCCCAAAGTTGGGGTTAAGATACCTTTTGAGGTTTTGTGGTTGCTGGGAACTGAACTCAGGACCTCTGGACAAGCAGTCAGTGCTCTTAACCACTGAGCCATTTCTCCAGCCCCATATTTAATATCTTTAAAATTAAATATTTGACATCTTAGTCATTAGAGAAATGCAAATCAAAACTACTTTGAGATTTCATCTCACACCAGAAAGAATGGCAAAATTTAATAAAACAAATGATAGCTCATTCTGGTCAGGATATGGAGTAAGGGAAACCTCCATTCATGGTGGCAGTGCACACTGTATAGTCCTTATAGAAATCGGTGTTCAGGGCCTCGGGAAGTTGAGACCAGGTCTACCTCAAAACTCAGCCACACCACTCTTGGATATAGATGCAAGAGATTTCATGGGGGTTACTTAAGACCATCAGAAAATACAGGGATTTATATTACAATTCATCATAGTAGCAAAATTACTGTTATGAAGTAGCAATGAAAGAAAAATAATTTTATGGTTGGGTGCACACAACATGAGGAGCTGTATTAAAGAGTCACAGCATTAGGAAGGTTGCGAACTACTATACTACAGAGACACTTGCTCAACCATGTTCATTGCTGCTCTATTCATAATAGCCAACATTGGAAACAGCCTTGATGCCTGTCTTAGGGTCTCTATTGCTGTGAAGAGACACCATGACCATAGCAACTCTTATAAAGGAAAACATTTAACTGGGTCTGCTTACAGTTCAGAGATTTAGCCCGTTATCATCATGGTGGGAAGCCCGGTGGCATGCAGTCAGATGTGGTACTGCAGAGGACCACACCTCCCAGTAAACCCATTCCTGGGTGAGGTAATGCTGAGTTCAAAAGTCAAATATGGTATTGTGATGGTTTGAGTGAGAATGGCCCTCATTTTTGCACGTTTAGTCTCCAGTTGATGAATTGTTTGGGACTTATTAGCATGTGTGGCCTTGTTGGAGGATGTGCGTAACTGGAAATAGGCTTTGAGGTTTCAAAAGCCCATGTCCATCCTAGTGTCCCTCCCTCTCTGCTGCCTGTGGATCAGGATGTAAAGCTACCAGCTGTTGCTCCAGCACCATGCCTGTCTGTTCTCTGTCCATGAGGAAAATGGACTAACCATCTGAAACTGTAAGTAAGCCTCCAAGTAAATTCTTCTTTTGTAAGAGTTGCCTTGGTCATGGTGTCTCTGCACAGCAATAGAACAATAACTAATCAGGTCTGCATTCTTCTATCTGTGGATATTAGCTTTTAAGCCTTTGAAAGGCATGTTACTCTATAAGTAACCATAGAGGTTAGCATATATTAAGGAACTAGGGGAGAGGAAAAAAGTACCCCAAGGATAGAAAAATAGATATGTAGAGCGAAAAAGCAAGAAGGAGACTAGAACAGGAGGATTAAATAGTGAGAGGGAGGGAAAAGGAGTAAGCAAAGAAATATAGGGTCAGCTAACAGTAAGGTTGTTTGAGGGGGTCATATGGAAACCAACTACAGTACAAGCTTCTTCAACGAGTATCCATGGTTCTGGAAGGTACTCTGTGCCCTAGCAGAGGAGAAAGGTAAACACTCACCAAACTACAAACCTTGGATCTACAATGGCGACCTGCCTGCGTGAGACACTGGCGCAACAATGGCTTAGCTGTGTTCGGAGTAGCCAACTACACACCAGTTGGATTTCAGGCCCACTCCATGAGATGGAACCCATGCCTAACACTGTCCAGGTGGCCAAGGACCTGAGACTACGCCGGTAATAAATCTAGGGAGAAAAACAAATGCTGCTAAAGGTACAGAGCAATAAAACATTCTCAGAACATTCTGCTGTATCCACAGATCAGTGTCTCACTCAGCTGCCATCAAAGAGACTTTCTTCTGCAGTAGAAGGCAGAAGACAGATCTTGGAACACTTAGTCCTGATGGGGATGTCTCCATCAAATCCTTCCTCTCAGGGCTCAGGGAACTCTGAAGAAGAGGCACAACGATTCTCAGAGCCAGAAGAGATGGATGATACCGAGGAAATTGTCTTCCAGATACAACAGTGCTGACACACATACAAACTCACAGTCTATATGTACATTGTTTGGTTTTGCTCATTTTGTTCTGTTTTGTTGTTTTTTCTTATATTGCATTTTTAAACTTATGGGTCTTTTTCTTGTATATTAGGGTTCTCACTTTTGAATTTTTATGGGCTTTGTTCACGTGCGCGCGCGTGCACGCGCGCGCGTGCGTGTGTGTGTGTGTGTGTGTTTTGTGCTTTTAGGTTTTTTGTTGTTGTTGTCAGCCTGTTCATTTTGTTTTATCCCTGTTTGTCTTTATTCTTCCGTTTGTTGTTTGTTTTTAAGAGAGTGAGAGAGGAGTGGAATTTGAAGGGTAGGAGATGAGGGAGGGAACCATAATTGAAATATAGTGTATGAAAAAAACTTTACTTTTAAAAGAAACTAATACTTAAAGATGTTAAAAAAAAAAAAGGGGGGGGAAACACTCGCTTATAGGGAACTTACAGAGGCATTTTCTCAATCCTCAAATGACTCTAGCTTGTGTCAAGTTGATGTCAAGCAACCAAAAGTTGTTTTCCTGGGACCCTCTCCTGTAGTCCATACTAGCCATAGGGATGTTCCAGAAATGAATGAGGGAAATATTTCATACATCTGCCCTGCATAGCCAATATGTAGACCACACTGGCTTCAAATTTATATGTTTCTCCTAGTCTTAGTTAAGGTTTTTATTGCTGTGAAGAGACACTATGACCAAAAAGCAAGTTGGGGAGAAAAGAGTTTATTTGGTTTATACTTCTATATTGCTGTTCATCATTAAAGGAAGTCAGGACAAGAACTCGAACATGACAGGATCCTGGAGACAGGAGCAGGAAGCCATGTATGTGGAGATGTGTGTGTGTGTGTGTGTGTGTGTGTGTGTGTGTGTGTGTGTGTAGGGGTGACAGGGAGAGATGCTGCTTACTGGCTTGTTTCTTATAGAAGCCAGGACCACCAGCCCATTGGCTGGGCCCTCCCACATTAATCACTAAGAAAAATGTGTTTTTCTCAGCTTTTTCCCTTCTTTCAGATGACTCGATCTTGTGTCAAGCTGACACAAGACTCCTTCAGTACTCCCCCGCTTCTGCCTCCACAGTACTGGCATTATGGATATGCATTACCTTCCCCCAAGCTTTTCCTCTGAACTCTTCTTTAAATTGTTTTTACACTTATCTTGTGTGTACTGTGTTGTGTGTGTTCATGTGGCGTATTTGATTACGCCATGGTAGCCGACTCAGGTCATCAGGCCTTGCAACCAACATTTTTACCTGCTGAGCCATCTCACCAGTCTTCTTCTGAACGTCTTACATTCCATACTTGAAATGGCTTTAGAAGGTTTGGGGATGTAGTTCAGTGAGTGGCACAGTGCTTGCCTCGCCAAGTGTGGAGCCTTCTGTCTCTGTTCAGCAAAACAGCAGAAAGAAGTGTTTTATGTAGTTACTTGAAAAACAACAACAAACAAAACAATCGAAGATATGTGTATTAAAACCCACAGGCCTGGAAAGATGGCACACTGGATAAAGGTGCTTGCCATGAAGCCTGATAACTCAGCTTCAACCAAGGCACACACATGGTAGAACTGCCTCCCAACAAGTTGGCCTCTGATCTAATTTAAATAATTTGACTATAATTTAAATAACCTAATTAAATCAACAAATAATTTAGATATAATTTAAATGACTTAACTATAATTTTAAATGTTTAGTTTCTCGAGACAGGGTTTCTCTGTGTAGCCTTGGCTGTCTGGAACTCACTCTGTAGTCCAAGCTGGCCTCAGACTCAAAGAGATCTTCCTGCCTCTGCCTGGGATTAAAGACATGCACCGCCACCGCAGCCACCACCACCAGGCGCCCTTCCTATTTCTGAAGGCATCTTTGACATAAGGTTTTGTTTTTTGTTTTTTTGTAAAATGGGAATTTCCACATGATGCCCAGGCTAGCCTCAAAGTAGTAAAGTGACCTTTGTTTTCTGTTTGTTTCTTTTTAGGACGGTGACAATAAAAGAGAAACGTACTTTTCTTGGCTTATGTGCCCATTAAAATGTTAATAACGCAGGAGAGAGGCAACGCAGGATTCTAACCCCTGCCTTCCAAGCGGAGACACTGAGGTTCAGAGAGCGGTTCCGTTTTCCGTAGTCGGGAAGAGCTCACAAGCCCCTTCCAACAAGCCCCACAAATGGCTGTCCCCGGCCGCTCTGCTCCTGACATTTGACGAGCCGCAGCTTCGATCTGGCGGCACTTCCGCTCCTCCCTCCGAGCCTAGTCACGAGTTGTCTCCAGGGCTCCGCCTCCTCGCCAGCTGAGTGGGCCGTTCCTGTCCTCTGATTGGCTGTTCCTTTTGCGGCTCGCCAACCCGACCGGATATAGAAGCAGGGCTTCCGCTTTCCCCTTCTCCCTCCTCTCGCCCGTCCTGCGGTAGCTGCTGCCAGCACGGTGTCCGCTGCCGGACGCGGTGTCGGCTTGTGGTCGGTTGGCTTCGGCTTCGGTGTCGCTGCGGGCGAGTTGGGCCGTCATGGCTGAGCTGGATCCTTTCGGCGCTCCCGCCGGTGCGCCCGGTGGCCCCGCGCTGGGGAACGGAGTGGCGGGCGCCGGAGAGGAAGACCCGGCCGCGGCCTTCTTGGCGCAGCAGGAGAGTGAGATTGCGGGCATCGAGAACGATGAGGCCTTCGCCATCCTGGACGGTGGTGCCCCCGGGCCGCAGCCGCACGGCGAGCCGCCGGGGGGTCCGGGTGAGAGGGCGACGGCGTTAGGGCGGGAGGACTTCGGGCACTCCGGGGCCGGGGCGGGTCGGAGCTCTTCCGCGGGACTCGGGCTCCAGGCTAAAGCGGAGATTAGGAGCGCAAAGAGGAAGTGAGACCCCGCCTGGGTCATGCACAGACCTCCGCTGCTGCAGGCTGATCCCGTCCAAGTGCCTGAGTGCTGCTGACCGGGGCGGAGGGGAGCAGCGGTGTCGGGAGCCGGGCCCGTTCAGTCCCAAGTTTTCACTAAGCACTTGACTGTGCTTGAAGCCTGGTCTCGGAAGCTGCCGCATTGCCGCACTTTGGCCAGATTTACCGACATGTCTTGAGTCCACCCAGAAAGAACTGCTTATTAGGAAAAAGTAAGAATGAAAAAAAAAAAAATGTTGAGACACGTGCAAACAAAAATGGCAACGTAGTTTAGAAGTTAAGGTACATGAAACGTTGGCTTGTGGGGAGGAAAAGAGGAAAATAAGGAGCTCAGAGAAGGTAGTCTGGCCATGTAAAGAGAAGCTGGCCTTACATGCATGGTTGAGTGTCTCGAGGCGAGGACTCCTTGTGCTTTTCTTTGGAAACAGCTTTGGAAGGAAGCATTGCCTCAGAAAAGCTAGGTATAGTCTGGACCAATCAAAGGGGGTGGGGGCGAGAGAGAATGTAGAGTGTAGTGTGGGGCTTTCCACAGTAAAACTTAAGCAAAAGAGGGACAGGCATAAGATGACAGTTTGGCTTTTGGATGCCTTCCTTAATTTGTATGATGCTTAGGATTGTGATGTGGGAGGAAAGATTGAGTGGAAAAGACCTATTCAGTAGAATGAGGAAGTAGGAAGTTCGCTGAAATAAAAAATGACAATAGCTTTTCATTTACAAAAAAAAAAAAAACAAAAACAAAAAATTTTGGGTTGTGGGCATTCACTTAGGTAATGTGGAGGTTGGTACCAGAAGTTCACCATCAGCCTTTGTAACATAGGGCGACCCCCTCAATCAAAAAATGCATTGCCTAGGAGGAATAGCTACACTGTAAACTCTGAGCCCAGGTAACAGATGAGAACAGCCAGCAGACTTAGGTTTTGGTGCACCACAGAAATGCTTTGTGTGTATTTGTGGCCCAGTGAACGCAAATGGCCGTTCTAAGCAAGCAGGATATATTTTGGTAGAGAAGTGCTCCTGGTTGCAGCCTCTGTGGGTTTTTCTTTGTTTTTAACAAAAACAAAAAACAGGACATTATGCTATCTCCTAGACTAGTCAGCCCCAGCAGGAACTTCCATGGGAAGGTCTGTGCTCCAGGTCTGCAGTGTACAGCAAGCTGACTGGACAGGTTTGTATCCTAAAGCTGAGGTTGATTTTAAGTGGCAGAGGCTGTTTTCTTGGGGCAGTCTTTGGCATTTGCCAATTATAAATTTTGCTTTTTAGCCCTATAACTTCCTTCATTTACTAAAAAAACTGAATCCTAGAGAGAGATGTAACTTGGTTAAGAAAGCAGGCTGAGCCTCAATGTACTCTCCTGTGGCGGAAGCTTTAACAGGGTGTCTTGGGTGTTCTGGGCAGGCAGGAATTGGGAGAATTTGAACCCACAGTTAGAAGATGTTAGTGACTGTACAGTCAGTGTTTTGGGTGGTCAGTGTCACCTTTGGATTACTGAACAGTGTGGCCTATAGTAGGTGTTCATGTGACGGATAAGTGGGCAAAAAGAGCCCTGTACAGAACAAGCTTTTGGGGCTAGGCAGTTGAGGAAGATAAAATGGAGAGACTAGAGCTGCACAATTCAGCCTTTTGTTCAGCAAAGGGAAGGAAAGGGTGATTGCTGACTTAGTTCCTAGGAAAGACATTTTTATGAACTAAGCATTTAGTGACCTAAGATCCTGACTGTGTTGAGGTTGGTAACGTGTAGTCTTAGGACTTCCTTTTGGGATCAGAGAACTTTCATACTCAACATTTTCATACTCAACATACTCTTTGGGATGTTGGGCTATCCTGTGCGGCTTGAGCATGAAATGAGACGATTTATGTAACTACCATCACTGCCTACCCTGTTTTCTTCTTGATATATACCACATGACTTAGAAGTACATTAATTTGTCTGTAAAGTGCTTACTGCTGTGTAGTAAGTGATCAGTGAATTTTAGCTACTACTACCCTAGGAGTAGGAAGAGAAGTTACAGGGCTTAGAAGCTTTGAGGTTTACTGAATAGATTGAGAGTAGGTGGGAGCTCTGTTTCCTGTACTCTCCATAGGGGCAGAGAAAAAGACGTAAACTTGCTCCGTCTGTGGGAAAATTTCCATGGGAGATGAGCACGGGTTGAACAGAAGGAGTTTAGAGATAGGAGATAACTAACTAGGTGAAGTGGCTGGGTTATTGAGGAAGAACAGATGGTCAGGATGGAGGCAGCACAAGGCCAGGTATTGGGGGGGTCCCTGAGTGGTGGGTCAGGAGAGGAATACTGAAGGAATTGAGGAACTACAGAGAGTGGCCACAAGGTACTGTTTCTAACAAGTCCTTTCTTTTAGGAGAGAGGGGAGATAGAGGAATTAAGAGGTTTTCTAAAGGGAGATTAACTTTATTGGTAGAAATGGAAGACAGAAATTAAGAGAATATTACCCATGATACTTAAATATGCTGTGTATTTACTGCATGCCAAATACTCCTCATACCTCTGGATCCATGCAGTAACTGACAGTTAAGCTGAAGTGCCAGCACAGGTCAGATGGGAACGGATTGCTGTGCAAGTTAAGCAGTGTCCTAAGGTAGCCCCTAATCAGTGGCTCAGGTAGGGTTCAGCTCTAGGTCTGCTTGACTTCTCACACTGAAAAAATTAGTTAAAGGTGTTTTGCTCCATGGAAATGTCACCCTGACCCTTGATTCTTTTTCTTTTTTGGGGAGGTGGTTGTTTGAGACAGGTTCTCTCCCTGTAGCCTGGGCTGTCCTGGAACTTGGGTATAAACCAGGGTGGCTGAACAAAACTCCACCTGCTTCTGTCTCCCAAGTCATGGAATCAAAGGTGTGTGCTGTTGTGCCTGGCTTGGCCCTTGTTTCTTTCCAAAGCTTGTTTGTTTGTTGGTTGGTTGGTTGGTTTATTTCCAAGACAGGGTTTCTCTTGTAGCCTTTGCTGTCTTGGTACTTATTCTGTAGACAGGCCAGCCTCTTTAACTCACAGAGAACCACCTGCCTCTGCCTCCCTGGGTGTTGGGACTAACGGCATGCACCACCACCACCTGGCTTCTAGGCTTCTTACGATGCCTGAGAAAGTTTTTGTTTCTTGGGTTTGGTTTTGTTTTTTTTGTTTGTTTGTTTGTTTGTTTGTTTGTTTTTTGTTTTTTTTGTTTTTTTTTTTTTCTGGATCATTAGAGTTAAATCAAGGGCCATGGATATAATTTTTATTGTTTCTGTACCCTGTCCTTGACTTGGGTCATTTAATTCATGTAAGAATGTGAGAACAGGACTGGAGAGATGGCTCGGTGCTTAAGATAACTGACTGCTCTTTCGAAGGGTCTGGGTTCAGTTCCTAGCATCACATAGCTGTAACTCCAGTTCCTGCATGTGGATTTGCACACGTGGAGGCATAGACATACAGACAAGCAAAACACCCATATGCATAAAATAAGTCTTTAAAAAATAATGTCAAACAGTCCTAAAGAAGCTAAACAACAAGGAGGACCCTAGGGAAGATGCTTAATCTTCGTTTAGAAGGGCAAACAGGATAGACATCAGAAGTAGGAGAAGACAAGGAACAGACAGGAGCCTTCCACAGAAGACCTCTGAAAGACTCCACCCACCAGGGTATTAAAGGAGGTACTGAGACTCATAGCCAAACTTTGGGCAGAGTGCCAGAATCCTTATGGAAGCAGAGGGATATAGAAAGTCCTGGAGGGCACAGGAACTCTACAGGGAGAACAACAGAGCCAAAAAAACCTGGGTCCAGGGTTTTTTTCTGAGACTGATACTCCAACCAAGGGCCATGCATGGAGGAGACCTAGACCCCTTGTCCAAAGGAAGCCCATAGGCTGCTCAGTTTCCAAGTGAGTTTCCTAGTAAGGAAAACAGGGGCTGTGTCTGACATGAATTCTTTGATCGCTGGCTCTTTGATCACCTCCCCCTGGGGAGTGCAGCCTTCTCAGGCCACAGAGGAAGATGATACAGCCAGTGTTGATGAGACCTGATAAACGAGGCTCAGATAGAAGGGAAGAGGTCCTCCCCTATCAGGGGACTAGGAAAAAGGCATAGGGGAAGAAGAGGGAGGGTGGGTAGGACTGGGAGGAGATGAGGGAGGGGTCTGCAGCTGGGACACAAAGTGAATAAATTATAATAAATAAATAAATGAATGAATGAATGAATAAATAAATAAATAAAAATTTAAAAGTAATGTCAAAAGAATAATACGTTGTCTAATGAAGAGCTCAAAGCATGTGTCAGAGGATCTGGATGAATCCTTACACCCAGACAACTGGCTGCAAGTAGTTTAGGAGGTATGGAGTGTGTCTCTCTGCTTTTATGTATGGAGTAATGGCCAAAGTCTTCTTTTGAAAATGTCCCTGGGCTGGACTGTATATTAACTGGATACTACTCTGTTATCTGTAATATATTAACTGTACTGTACAAGTAGTTAGCTAGTCATTAGAGGCTCTAGGAATAAAATTGTCTCACTCTTCTACCTCACACAAAAGTAAATTAAAGGTGAATTAAAGAGACATTTGAGAAGTACAAGAAGAGGGCCAGAGAGCTGGCTTAGCAGGTAAAAGGCCCCTGATTGTCTTAAATAAATAAGGTGTAATAAAATATTTTTAAGTACCAGAAGAAATAATACTGTTGTGGGATAGCCTACAGCAGAAATCACAAAGGAAGAGTTGGTAACATTTTCATACAAATTAAATTGTAGTTCTAAAGTATTAATTTCATAAGTCGGATTGAAAGCAAAATAGGTGTTGCAATGTAACTTTGTTGGTAGAATGTTTTCCTAGTATGTGAAGCCCTGGGGTCAGTTCCCAGTACCATATAGCCTGAGTGTAGTGGTACATGCCTGTAGTTCTAGCACTTTGGAGGTGGAGGCATAGTCTTAAGTTTAAAGTCATTCTCAGCAACATGTTTGAGGCTAGCCTGAGCTACAGTGAAAGCCTATGTCATTTCTTTTAAGCGTTTAAAAAACCCACAAAAAAAATGGTGGACTTGGGAGATGGCTCGCTGGTAAAGTGCTTCCTGCACGTGTTTGAGAAGCTGAGTTTAGATCCCAAGTATTTATGTAAAATCTGGCTGCTGTGGTGTATGCTTATAATCTGAGAGCCGGGAGGAGGAGACAGTGGCATGGATGGATGGTGCTTGCTGGTCAACCAGCGGGCCTTGTCTTAAAAAATAAGGTTGGAGAGTAATTGGGGAAGATAGCTAACAAGAACCTCTGACCTCCACATGTATGCAAACATGCACAGGTACACAGAGGCACCTAGGAGGGAGGTGGACAAAATGGGAAAAAAGGTACAATATTTAATAAAGAAAAATTAGAAATCAGAAGACAGTAAAAATAGGCAAATATCAGATAATTCAGTAAAGAAACAAAAAAGATACATTATTATCTTACAGGGAATAAGGACCCTTACAATAAATACATATCCTGTGATCCAGCAGTTCTACAACAAGGACTTTAGCAGAGGAGTCCTTGACAACACCAGACAAATACCGTCATTCACTGTTTAAAAAACTTTTGTTAAAATTGTTAGGATTTATGCCACCTATGTATAGTTTCTTATTGTGTGGCATGAGCTCATCTGGAATTTGCCCAGGCTGGCCTCACAATCCGTAATCTCCTACCTTAGCTTCTGAGTGCTATAGGCATGTATCACCATACACAGTTGGAATCCACCCCCTTACCATGTGTGTATTGGGGCGGGTCAGAGGAAAGCTTGCAGGGATCCTGTTCTCACCTACTGTTTGGGTCACAGGGAATGAACTCGATGTCAGGCATTTTTGTGTGCGTGTGTGTATATATATAAATGTTTTGCCTGCATGTATGTTTCTGCACCACTAGGGTGCCTGGCATCCATGGAGGCCAGAAGGAGGGTATCGGCTCCCTTGGAACTGAATTTACAGATGATTGTAAGCTGTCGTGCAGGTGCTGGGAATCAAACTTGGGTCCTCCAAAGGAGCCGCCAAGTGCTCTTTATACTGAACCATCTTTCCGGCTACCCTCCTCCAGGAAAGTATTTTGCCTGTTGATCTCAGGGCCTCACTGAGGTATGCCTGCTAGGCAGTCTGTCTGCCTTTGAGCTGTACTCTAGCCCTAACATCACTTCAAGGCTACTTAGTAGCTCATAGTCTCCTCAGCACACAGTAATTGTATTCTACTACATAATCCTTAATGCTTTGGTCTAGCATTTGAGTAGCCCTGATTGACAGGCTGAAACCTTATGTCTTGCAGATGCCGTTGATGGAGTGATGAATGGTGAATACTATCAGGTACAGAGAACTCTATATTAAATGATAGTAAACTAGAGTCTTAACTGTGATTTGAATTGATTGACCTAAAAAGAGATCCTAGTGCTGGCATATTATCTATCAAAGTAGAAAATGACATTTATAGGATGAGCCCTGGCTAGTCTCTGACTTACTGTGTAGACCAGGCTGGTCTTGACTTTAACACAGATCAGCCTGCCTGTGCCTTCTGAGTGCTGGGATTAAAAGTCTGTCCTTTTTCTCCTGCCTCAGTTTCCCAAGTGTTTGGATTATAGGTATAAGCTACTACGTCCCAACAGTGAAAGCACTGTTTTAAAGTTTAGCTCATTTCATTGTCTTTTTTCCCCACAAGAATTGATCCTTCTTGGTGGTGGTGGCGGCAGTGGCAGTGGCCAATTTAAATGCTGTGTGCCGTGTACTATATCAAACACTAGAAAAGTCACTAGGACTTTTTATTTTTCCTTGTTAGAGACAAACAAAAACAGCACAGCCCTGGCTATTCTGGAATTCACTGGATAGACCAGGCTAGGTTACCTCACAGAGCTTTTTCGGCCTCTGCATCCTACGTGCTGGGATTTACCATCAAGTCTGGCAGTCACTAGAACTTTAAAGAATTCTCTGTCTTTGTTAGAATCTGATAAGATTAAGCTGGTAATAGTCTCCAGTTGAGAGTATAAGCTGTGAGTTTTTATCAACGTGTTAGTAGCTCTCAAGTCTTTATCCACTATAAAGAAGCGTTCCTTTGACCTCTGACTTGTAGTTGCCCACCTTTTTTCTCCCTCCCTGGTTTGACTATATAGTTGCTCTCCATTTTCTTTTGGATTCTTTCTTAGAATTTATTGTTTGGTTAGATAGTAGTAAATGACTGTTCCCTGCATGGTAGAGTGTTTGAAGTCTTAGGCACTAGGCTTGGCTCTGCTATGTACTTAGCTCTGTTACTTGGCGATAACACATAATCTCTCTGTCACGTGAGAAAACAAACTGATAATGGTGTTTCTAATATGTCTTCTAATATATTAATTCTAATATAATTCCTAATATGTCTCTTACCCATCCAACCTTAACTTTCTTATCACCCACTTATGTCCAATTCTTTGAGATATCAACCACTCTGCCTCCTTCATGAGAGTGCAAGGGTTCAGCATAGTAATGCTGAAAGCTCTGTTGGCTTGTAAAGTTTTGTTGTTGTTTTAAATAATCCTTTAACATTTTACGAAAGCCTGCTGTGTGACCTGAGGTTTTAACTTATGAAGAGCATTTCAGGAAGGTATTTGGGTACTGAAAGAGTATGTAATTGTTTTGTGTTAAGGAAAGTAATGGTCCAACAGACAGTTATGCAGCCATTTCAGAAGTGGATCGATTGCAGTCAGAGCCTGAAAGTATCCGTAAATGGAGAGAAGAGCAAACGGAGCGCTTGGAGGCCCTTGGTAAGGAATCCCATTTTGCCTTTGGGTGTCTGTTTTCAATAGAGTAGTTGACCTGACTCTTACCCCTTTTAAGCTTGAATTAGCACAGTGTCTCTGTCTGGTTTTTGGGAAGGTGTATTTTTCATCCTAAAGGTCATAAGGTCACTGACAAGCTTCATTATAAGCTATTACATGAGGAACACAGTAGTATAGGGAGCCATCTTCTCCAGGAAGAGCCCTGGATTTGCAGTGAAAGTTGCAAATCAGTTTAAGATTTCGACTTAATCAGTTTAATCAGTTTAAGATTTCGACTGACTGACTGTGTGTGGGCACTTGATTCAAATTTTGTGTCATCAACTGAAGGGAAATCAGTGTTCCTGGCCTCAAGCTGAGTGTTCTTTACTCACTTGAAGTGAGTGGCATTCACAGTTCACTTATTATTTGAAAGACGAATCTAATGTTAGAAAATGTGTTAGTAGCTTCCCATTGTTGTGACAATATGGAGAAAATCAGTTTGAGGAGGAAGGTTTAATTTGGCTCCCAGTTTTAGAAATGGGCCACTCTGTTACTTTATTTTGTCTCTATTACTTTAGTACTGGTAAGACAGAAACATTATGGTAGAAAAGACAGGAACTCTGTCCACTTCATGGCGTCTAGGAAACAGCTTAGGAGGCCAAGGACAACAGACTTCGTCAAAGGCACTTTCCACAGCCACCACTTCATTCAGGCCTCACCTTTCACTGTTACCATCATCTCCCAGTCGTCCATTAAATTGTGAATCAGTCATGGATTAAACCATCAATTAGGTTGGATGGATCTCTTGTGGTCCTGTGGTCTAGTCACTTCCTAACAAATAGCCCAGGACCCTTATTTCTTGTCTTTTTTTTTTTTTTCTCTTTTTAGGTTCATAATTTAATTTATGTGTATGAATGTTTTGGCTGCATGTTTGATGTGTGTCTGGTGCCTGCAGAGGTCAGAAGAGGATACTGGATCCTCTGGACTGGGAGTAACCGATGGTAATGAGCCATTATGTGGCTGCTGGTGCTCTGGAAGATCAACGAGTGCTCTAAATTCCTGAGTCTTCTCTCAGGCTCCCTACATGAGCCTTTTAGGGGCCCTTCCTATCCAAGTCATAGCAGGAAACATGAATTTTTTTTTTAACCTTACTGTCCCCATGAGGTAAGGGTTTTTTCCATTTTTATTAGTAAAGGAATTGAGGATTATAACTAGATTATTTGAAGCACAGAGCTTCAAGTGGTAAAACAAATTTGTCTGCTTTACTTCATGATCCACATTCATCCCCATCAGCCACATGGCTTTCTAAATGCATTTTGTGTACCTGGCCATCTAGCTGGGCAGGCCAACCCCTCTTTGGCATCAACTTCTGGTAGAATTCTATACCTGAGTGTCACCTATTCCTTCAAGATCAGGAGGATCTGGTGGTTTAGCAGTGTGAGGAGGTAATCAATAGTGTTTCCTATTTTCAATTATTAACATGTCAAACCCAACAGTACAAAAAGTAACATTAAGTGATTTTTATTGTTTGTTTTTGAGACCAGGTTTCTTTATATAGACCTGGGGCTAGCCGGGAGCTCACTGTATAATCCTAGAGCTCACAGAGATCCTGCCTGCCTTAGCCTACTGAGTGTTGAGATTAAAGATATGTACTATTACACCCAGTTCTTAAATGATTTTCGTTTTAGTTATATTATGTATCTGTGTGTATCTGCATTTATTGTTAGGTTTGTTTATTGTATTTTTTGTGCATAAGTGTTTTGCTTACATATGCTTATGTATATGTACCTTCTGTGTGCCTTCAGAGGCCAGAGGAGGGTATGTGGTCCCTTGGAACCAAGACAGATGTGAGCCACCATGTGGGTCCTAGGAACCTAACCTGGATCTTTTGTAAGAGCAACAAGTATGGGCTGGAGAGATGGCTCAGGGGTTAAGAGCACTGATAGCTCTTCTAGAGGACCCAGGTTCAAATCCCAGCATCCACATGGCAGCTCACAGCTTTCTGTAACTCCAAGATCTGATACCCTCACACAGACATACATATAGGTAAAACATCAATGCACATAAAATAAAAATTAGTAAAAAAGAATAAGTATTCTTAACTACTAAGACATCTCTTCAGTTCTGCACATATGTTTTATAGAGATATATGCATATACCCCCTTTGTTTTGGCTGATCAGCTCTAACATACAGACATAACTTCCTGTCTATTTTATTCCATAAGTCCTAGGAATAGTGAATTCTTCATGTACCCACGCCAGTAGTAGTATTCTCCCAAGAACACTGAATGAAAACACTAATGAAAACATGACTCCTTGTTTTTCAGCTGGGGTAACTGACACCTGGAAATAGGAAAAAACTTGACTCAAATAACCTAACCAGTCAGTGCCAGATTGTTATCTCTTGTCTAGTTTCCAAAGCTGTCAGTACAAAGAGTGGCCCTGAATAGCAGGACCTAAATGTCCTTTCCTCAGTGGAAATATGTGGTATCTGTACTTTGGCCAGTTTGCTCCTCGTATATAATAATGTTTGTGCTGAGTGTGGCTGCAAAACAGGAGCCCCTCAGCATACGTGAGTATTCAAGTACTTGTGACTGGAATTCAGAAGTTGAGTTTTATACTTTGTTCGTTTTTAGCAAGCTCCTCCAAGAACCATGTCTAGATGGAAACTATTGCATTGGAGCGTGCAGCGTTAGGAGAGGAAGGCAGGCTGTCAGGTCTTAGCAGCCATTGTCTTTGCCGCTTGCTTTTTGTTTGTCTTTAGTGAAGGCTTGGAGACAATTTGTTTTTACAGAAAGGGTGCATTTTGGTAGTAGGAAATTTATTTTTTATTTTTATTTAATTATCAAGTTTGTATTTTTTTATCCCCTACCTCCACCACGGAGTGTCATAGTGTAGCCTTGCTTGGCCTGGAATTTGTTGTATATACCAAAGTGGCTTTAAACTTAGAATCCTCCTGAGCACTGAGATCACGTGTTCATCCCCACTCCCGGCTCAAGGTGGCTGCTTTCAAGGTGTCTCAAGGTGTTTTGCCTTATAGTCCAGTCAGGTTGTCGGCAGATGAGGGGTTTCTGCAGTTTCACCTTTTTCTCTGCAAGAACTGTGAGAAAGTACAGCATGTGCTTTTACAACTCTGAGCCATCTTGCCAGGCCCAAAAGGGCTTTTTGGAAAGTAATTCCACTTTGCATTTAGGTTTGGTAGTAGATTTTTATTTCCTTGAAGCTCACATGGCTTCCTCAACTTCCAGAATCTGATAGCAGTAGAGTCTGTCCTCGGTTCTGTGTGTGCCGTGGACAGGATCATCAGAGTAATTAGGTCTCCTATACATAGCCTTGCACAGTTTGTTAACTGCATTTCTTGCAAAGGGCATAAAGTGCCCAGGAGTGCTTTCTGTTCTTTAGGTCATTACTTGACGCCATGCTGCTTCCTACTTCCCAGCTCTAAGACACTAACAACAGGGTGAGCTTGTGCTCTGCACTTTGCGGATCCTCTGGGTTACTAGTAGCCTCGATGGCCACATCATGTGATTATCTCCAGGCTTGCATGCTGAAGTCTGTCAGGTGTGAGCTCGGGGCACACTAAGTCTTTGCTCTCCCTTTGTCTGTGGCTCTTAGTTTCTTTTCCCCCCCTCGCTGCTGAAAAAGACCTAGAATTTACCTTCTTAGGAGTACTGTAAAGATTGAGATGCATGTAGAACACCTTCTGGAGAGGCTGTCCTTAAGGACATGCTTGACTGTTAGCGTGACGTAGGTGACAAATGCACCCTAGCTCCACTACCTCCCTCCCACTTTACTGACAGGTGGTCTTCAACTAAACATTGTAGGAAAACTACATTTAATCTTAAGAATTTCACATTGGAGTTGGAGAGCTGGCTCAGTGGTTAAGAACACTTGCTGCTCTTGCGAAGGACCCCATTCAAGTTCCCAGCACCCACATGGCAGCTCATAACTGTCTGTAAGTCCACCTCCCCGGGGCACCTGCATTTGTGCCTGTGTGTGTGTGCACACTTAAAATAAAAGCTTAAAAAAGAAATTTTATGTTTGAGAATCCAGAGCAGCAGACCTGCCTACGTGACTTTTCTCGCCTTTGTGTTTTGACCCTTTTGGGTGATTGTTGAATAGTGATCCTGTGTCCTCTGTCCCTGCAGTCCCACCATTCCTGTTTTCTCTGTTAGCTCTGTTACAGACTGAGTATAGAGTAGGGATTTTGTGGTCCTGTAGCCTCCCATTCTCTGATTCATGAATCATTTCTACCTCTGCTAATTTTCCTGTTCGTGTCCTACCTCATGCAAGTGTTTCCACCATACTTACAGTTGGAGACTAACTTTGTGTTTCATGAAAACATGATTACAGGGGGGTGTGGACTGTGTATAATTGTGAGAACAGCTAGAAGATACTGTTCACTTGGGAGAGTACTTGCCTAGCATGCACCAAGTCCTGAGGTCAGTCCGAAGCACAACACAAAACTGGGCCTAGTTGTACATGTAGTACAAGTGTGTGTGTAGTACAAGTGTGTGTGTAGCGTGCAGGAGGACCAGAAGTTCAAGGTCTTTACTAGTATCATAGGTTCAGAGCCATCCTGGGCAACATGAAATACTGACTCAAAGAAAAAAGTTGTATGTATGCCTGTGCACCATATGTGTAAAGTACATGTAGGGGCCAGAAGAGGGTGTCAGATCAATCCCCTGAAACTGGAGTTGCAAATGTTTGTGAACTAAAACCAAATGGACTTTCTGTGCCCACCCCCGCTCTGAATAATGACAAGGAGACTTATATTTATAATAGCTTTGGGCCTTAGCTTATCCTTGTTCCCAACTAGCTCTTATAACCTGTGTTAACCCATTTATATTAATTTATGTTCTGTCATGAGGCTCATTACCTCGCCTCAGTTTCACACAATTTCCTCCAGGTCTCGTAGGTGAATCCCCCATGCCTACTTCTTTTCCAGAGTTCCTGTCTCTCTGGAAGTTCTGCTTATTTTGTCCTGTCTTTGCTATAGGCCATTCAGTTCTTTATTCAACTAAGCAGAAGGTGGAGGAGAACAATGTTTATAAAATACAAAGCTAGAAGATGCTTCATAAAAATGACAGTATCAAAGTCCAGCCTGTCCTCCCACCTATAGAAATCAGCATTTGAATAAAACAAGGACAGTCTTTACACAGTGCATGAAAAGAAAGGTCACCCCAACAGTGATACACCACATGATGTAGGTGATGGAAATCGAACCCTAGTCCTCTAGAAGAGCAGCCAGTGCTCTTAACTGATGAGGCATCTCTCCAAGCCATTTCCTGTCATTTTTTTCCTCCAACATATATGTATACACACATTTCCATACGTAGGTAAATTCAGTAAGATCAGAATGTTACATGTTGGAACCTGGGCATGATAACTCACGCCTGTAATCCCAGCACTCTGGGAGGCAGAGGCAGGCACATCTGTGTGATCTTGAGGCCAGCCTCGTCTACAAAGTGAGTCTAGCATAGCCAAGACTACACAGAGAAACCCTGTCTTGAAAACACCAAAAAAAAAAAAGTGTTGCATGTTAAAATGAACTTTTATTTTGCTTTCCCTCAGTTATATTCTTTTCTTTTCTTTAAAAGATGCCAACTCTCGGAAGCAAGAAGCGGAGTGGAAAGAAAAAGCAATAAAGGAGCTAGAAGAATGGTATGCAAGACAGGATGAGCAGCTACAGAAAACAAAAGCAAGCAACAGGTTGGTCTATGTGCTTCTAGAATAGCCTGTTCTCTGAGACTGAATCAAACCCATTTTCCAGTACCCAGTCTAGGTTCTTGGCAGTGCCTGTCTTCGTATGAAAGATCTTGGCGATTTGGAGGAAGCTGCTAGAAACAGAGGTTGTGAGCCTCTTGAGTCTTGTGAGCAAAATTCAGCTTGGATCAAGCTTGGCTCTTAAACTGGGTTATCCAGGAAAGATAGGCACTGGAGAGCCCTGAGATTAAAGGCCAGCTGCAGGGTCTTGTTAATTGGAAGACAATTACAGACCAACTTATACTGTACCCTAAATGTAGCCCTGCCCTCCTAAAGAGGCTCCTGAGGGTTGTTAGTATGGACATGCTCTGTAATTAGGTAGCTCAAAATGTTCCAACATGGACTGCAGAATTAAGGGTTCACTGTACTTAAGCCTGAAATTGGTTTCCTAAAAATGCTTTTTTTCAGAATACATTTTATACTTAACTGAAAGTTAACACTGGGGAGAAAACACTCATTCTCCTATCATTACCAAGTAGTAACTGAGATATATATGCTCATTTCTTGGACCTTCTTTCTTGGAATATCCTCCTTCTTAGAGGTAGCCTAGAATGATAGTTGTAGTATAGCCCCTGCCAACAAGGCAGATTGGCTTTTACTTTCTGCTGGATTCAGAGCCACCTGTCATTGACTAGGAGGCATGCCACTACTTTGTTGGTTTATCATTGTTAAAATAGCCCAAGGCAGACTGGGCCTTGGGTTACTCTCTTGTGAGCTGGGTCTGTTTTAGGGGCAGCTCTTAGATGGAAATTGCCAACCCCTTGACCACCAGCTGATGCCAGTGTGAGGCAAGTGTGACAGAATAGGTGGGCTTTCCTCTGTGACAGTCCTCTAAAACCTCCTGTGTTTCTTGGTCACTGGCACTGTTCTTTGACCCAGGCCCAGCCTCTCAAGCTGCTCAGTTCTCTGAGGGATATGCTCTAAAACAGTGCCTTTCAAGTTCTGTTTGAAGTTTTGCGTCAGGTAGGGTGGGAACTGCTTTCTTGTCAGTGTCAGTTGCGAAGGGGACAGCTGCCATTCAGCTACCAGAGCTGCTGCTGTGCTGATGTCAAGTGTGACGTGCCAGGCTCCTCTGCGTGAAGAAAGACGCTGCAGTGTGGTGATGCTCCCCAGCAAAGCTGCCTCAGGGCTCCATCTACTCGGAAGTTCCTGGGCCAAACGCACTAACTCTCCCTGCATCGGGTGCCCAAGGCTTCAGCGACTTGACAAATAGACTTTCAGATTTCATAATGAATATATTAGGAACCGGCTTTCTGTGGCAGAAGTTTTTCCTACTCCCTTTATCTAAAGGAGTGCCCCATGTCTGTTGTAGGTACTTAACATTAGAGGTTGAGGTTCTGAACATGTAGTCAGATGGTAGTATACTCTACTTGGAATTGTAGAATATTGACTTCCTGGTTTCAGAGAGGAGAGATTTCTCATGGAGTGTTAACATAGCACTGTCAGAAACCAGCTTACATATATGCCTTGTAAAACCTGTTCACAAGCTTGAGTCTGTGTATATAAAGTTAGTGGTATGCTAGCCACTGCACCATAGTCCTAGGACAGAGATGTTTTTCTCACTTTATTCCAATGGTTTTTGTTTTTCGAGACAGAGCTCTCTATAGTCCTGGTGGCTGGCCTCGAACTCAGAGAGAGATCTGCCAGCCTCTGCTCTGTTGGGATTAAAGGTGTCTGCCAGCATGCCTGGCTTCCAGTAGTTTCTTGAGAGGATCAGTGGATGGTGGTTAGGAGACTTTAGACTGTGAGGGCTGGCAGTGAAGCTCTGGTCGAGCATTCGCCTAACATGCAGGGTCCCTTTTCCATCCCCAGCACCACAGAAAGAAGGAGGGTCGAGATCAGGCCAGTTGTGATGCCACACTACTATAACCCCATGCCCTAAAGGCTGAGACAACAACACACATCACCAAACATTCAGAGCCAGGCCAGTCCTGCTGAGTGGGGAGTGGAAGGGTCAGCAGACAGGAGGAAGAGGGGTCTTTGGTCCCCATGTAGACTGTGTTGTCAGTGCCTTTATCCCAAGTTATAGCTTACCTGTCATTGCACCAGAGCATGAATCATTCAGTGGTGGCCTATGAGAAAGAACGCCAGAGACTCAGAACAGTGGCGGTCTCTTGCAGTTCATCTATGGAGGACAACCCTAGAACATCTCTCTTCCCAAGCAAGAAAAGAAACATTCCCCTTGTTAGAGATCTCTTGTGGTAGGACTTTCAGCTCTACAAAGGCCTAAAACCATTTGAGGACTCTAAATCCATTATTCTCAGCCGTGGTAGACTTCTTCCCAGACTACCGTGGAGCTATTTATACACTGAAATTCCGAATTGTTATTTTAGGCCTGTGGTCAGGCACTCCTCTCCCCTCTCCAGGCTTCCCTGAGCACCCTGACAGTGCTGATTCCAGGCCTGCCTTAGGCTGGCTGGGAGAGGGGCAAGCAGATGGAGGGCCTGTTTGTGTATCTTCCTCTCTGTCCTTCAGGGGCCCTGCTTGGCTCTGACAAGCTCTTTAGTCTTGGGACTAGTTGCAAGGAGGCAGAAAAAGCCTTTGTTGTCAAGTGATGCCTTGATGGGGGCAGTAAACCTCTATTGTCCTCCAGTTAGAGCAGGCAGAGTTGAATGATTAGGCTAAACCTTCTGTGAACTAAAGGATTAGGGCGGACAAGCTGTCTGCCCTTCTTTGCCTCCCACTTACTTGACTCACGAACAGATGTCTGCCTGCTGAGTCACCAAGTTACAACCCGGCTGCTCCTTTTGCTTTCTTTAAATTTCCACAGATACCTTCTGTGTAAGGAAGTAGAAAAGAATGAAGGGTATGTGTGCATTTTAAAACTAAGCCGAAACTGCTGGAGTTCAGTCAGTAGTGATGGCACAGTATAGGTGAGGCCCTGGTCTTGATCCACAGCACTGCATAAAATAGTTGAGACGGAGCATACTCATAATCCCAGCATTGCTAAGACTGGGGATGTGTTGGCAGGAGAACTAGAACTTCAAGGTCATCCACACTTATCAAGTTTAAAGCCAGCCTGGGCTACCTGAAACTCTGATCAAAATGAAATAAATATAAACTCAAAATTACTAGAATTTGCTTTGAGATAAATATGTACTTAAGTTAATGAGTGAGCATCACTGCCCTTTACAAATGAACCTTCCAGCAAGTTACTGCCTACTCTTGGAGGCCAAGGCAGGGGCATTGCAAGTGAGCTCTAGTCTAGCCAGAGCTACAAACTGAGATCCTGTTCCACAAACCCCAAAGTTTCCAGGGTTTTTTTTGTTTGGTGTTTTTTTTGGTTTTTATTTGTTTGTTTGTTTGTTTCCCTAAAACAACCTGGCAAAGGACAGGCTGAGACTTAGCAAGGTTATTGTCAGTATACCTTTTTGACATATTGTGCCCTGGTTAGTCCAGATCTTGTCAGTTGATCCACTTCCTGCCCAAGTTTATAAAGACTTGGTAAAATTCAGGATTTTAAGCTACACTTTGTCAAATATAGGTATTTAGAAACTGTCCAGACACAGAAGCCCAGAGCCAGATACCAAACCTGCTTCAATTCCCTAGACCACTTACTCTCCAGCCTTTTTTTTTTTTTTTTTTTTTTAATCTCTTAAGACTGTCATTTTGCAACGACTGCAGGTTTTTTATTCCACCAAGCCAGTGTTGGAAAGCAGTGATTGGGTCCAAGATTTGGGATTAAATCTTTGGGACTGTGCCCATCTGTTACCTGGCAGTGATCATACCCAATGATAATTTACTGAGGCTGGCATAAAGGTAGCTTGGCATCCTGAGCTGGGAAATAACTTTTATACTGAGTAAAATATGTGCCCCACAAGCCACCCTGCCACTGCTGTAGTTGGCCAGGTCTTCACCACTGAGCCTCAGTCATCGTACCTGGGGAATAGGCTAAGAACACTGGCAGCATGGGTGGTCAAGGTTGAGGCTTGAGGAATGGCAAATAGCTCATAATAAAGTGCCTCAGAAAGGTCGTTGCTGGTAAGTCCCAAAGCTGAAGCGCAGTGCTCTCTTCTGGAAAGCCCATGAAGGCCGGCTTCCAAGATGCCTCTGTCCACTGAAGTGTCCACCGCTGGAAACCCCCCTGGGGTTAGGATGGAGCCTTGGGAGCAGCTCCCCAGGGCGCTGTCCCACCTCTATTGTGGATTTTAGATGTTTCTGCTTCTCAATGTTTTCTCTTTTTTCCTGCCTGCTTGCCTGCCTTTTGGACTTCTTGCTGTCTAGGGTGGCAGATGAAGCTTTCTACAAACAACCCTTCGCTGACGTGATTGGTTATGTGTATGTTGCAAAACTAATTTCTTTTCTCGTTTTGATTCTTTCTTTCTGTTTAGAGTTAATGCTCCTTTTTGTCACGAGTTGCTTTGCTTTTTAAAATACTTCACATTGGCTCTGTGGGGCTGCTTGAGAGTTGATAAGCTAGATATGACCATTGCTAATCTTGAAGAATTGTCACTCCATGCACTCCCTGATGACCATTTGCATACTTGGGGTCCTGGAGGGATACAGGCATTCAAAACATGGTTCTTATGCTCTCTCTGGGAAGAGTTTGGGGCTTGGATGGATCTGACCACTCGGTGTTTCTGCTACTGGTGCTGCTTCCAGGCCCTGTTGCCTGCCTGTCTGCCTAAGATGAGAAGGAGTCTCCCTTCATCGTAGGGGATGACCTGCGATGTTCCATGGACCACACAGCACCATATATTACAAAGTCAGAACTGGGAAGGGGGGGTGGTGTCTCTGCCTGGCCAATTTTTGATCCTTAAAACATGTGAGGTGTCACTGACTCAGGCAGAATGGGTATCTGTCACTGTTTTTCTCTGGTCTTAGATATCAGATATTGCTATTACAGTGGCCAACTTCTGGTGCCCTATATCCCAACCCCCAGCACAGAGGCCCCCAGCTGTGAGGTCGAGATAGTCAAGACTGTCCAGTAAGAACTGTATCTTTTTGGAAAAAAACTTTTTTGTTTTTAATAAGGATCCTTGTTAATAAAAATCGTATTGCTACAGACTTGGAAATAGTCTTGTTTTCCTTTTTACAACAGAATTCGAGGGAAAATAGCAACTCCTTATGGAAGGTGGGTGGTAGGTGGAGAGTCTTAGGGCCCATGACGCTCAGGTGGCCACCTCATTAGAAGACAGACTGGGTTTCCTGGGCCGCTGGAGGAGTTTGCAGTGAGACTTGTGAAATGCTGGACTTACAGGTGGTGTTTCATTTGACTTTTATTCATTTTCTGGAGTAGAAATGGAGACTGGAAAGGTTAAGTCTGGGTTTGCTGGACAGCAGGGTGGCCCGGCAAAACCAGCTGCACGTTCCCAGGCATAGGTAGAACGGCAAGGGCATGTCTAGCTTACTGACCATCTGCATTGAGCTCATTCTCATTTTCTATATCTGACCTAAAGTTTCTCCTTGTTTCTTTTCTTCTCTTCACCCTTAAGCACAAACATAAACCATCCTTGCTACAGCCTAGAACAGTTAAGTAAACCTTTCTCACTGCCCCTAACTGTGTGTGCCATGAAGTCGCAGTGTTGTAGTGGCTCTGGGCTTCAGCAGTGTTTGCCACGGCCATCCCTGTGATAGTGCCACCCTCTGTCCCCACAGACCGGTCATCTCCATTGCTTTTGCTTTGCCCGTGGTGCTTGTTGGAGTAGATGAAATACATTGTCTTTCCCACTTCTACCACTGTCCTTTTGGGGCTGTTGCTCCTGCCAGTTAGTTCCCCACTGGGGGTGGGCTGATCTTGATGTGAAAGAAATGTTGGAGTGGCATCCTGCCCAAAAAAGCAGCTCGTGTTGGCTCTCCTGCCAGGATATTCCCTGAGTGGCACCAGGCACCTGGCTGGAGAGAAATGGTAGACTTGGCTGAACTGGCGAATGTCCTAACAACCTCTTCTAGAATGGCTTCAGTCTCTAGTGCCTGCTAGCATGGGAGCTTGGTCTTGAATGCCTTTTGCTCTGCCCTGTTTCTCTCCAGCCTTAGAACTAAGTTTTGTGCAATGACTCAAGGGCTTCTTAGAAGTCTTAATTTCCTTGAACCTCAGGATAGCCGAGCACAAGCTACTCTGAAAGCCCTTGATCAGTCTGCTGCTTTGCTCTTCTTCAGAAAAGCAGTGTGCAGGTGGCCAAGGACTTGGTTTTTTCATGCTCTGATCAGCAAAGACAGCCATAGAGACAGACTGAGCCCTGAACCAAACACCTGTATTCCACCATTTCACACAGCAGCCTGGGTACCTGTACCTAGGAGAGCTGGCCAGTTATCTGCCCCTGCTTCTGCCCTGAGCTAGCGGCTGGTATTCTGGAAAACCAGAATGCCACTGAATCAAAGAGACAGTTGCTTACTCTGTAGTAAGTTATATAGCAAGGTAGCCACCAGATTGCTCAAAAGGTTTTTTACATTAAACCAACATATTTTGTTATTGCTTCCAGGGCAGCAGAAGAAGCCTTTGTAAACGACATTGATGAGTCATCCCCTGGCACTGAGTGGGAGCGGGTGGCCCGCCTGTGTGACTTTAACCCCAAGTCCAGCAAACAGGCCAAAGATGTCTCTCGCATGCGCTCAGTCCTCATCTCCCTGAAGCAGGCCCCTCTGGTGCATTGAAGAGCCACCCTGTGGAAACACTACGTCTGCAATATCTTAATCCTACTCAGTGAAGCTGTTCACGTAATTGGATTAATTATGTTGAGTTCTTTTGGACCAAACCTTTTGTCTTTAGAGTTGATCATTGTTTGTGATTGCATGTTTCCTTCAACTGTGTTCTCCCTGGCATACAGAGAAGAGAGGGGAGGAGGAAGAGGAAGGGAGGGAAGCTCCCTACAGTAGCCTCAACCCGTGCTTTTGTGCATTATTCTAAGAATAAATTTCTGTTTCAAACAATATACATGAAGCATCTTTAATTGATCTCAAAATGGTGCTGCAACTTAGGGCAGGCTTAAAGGGACGAGTGATTCTTGGTTATTTCTGAGTGAGAAGGCACAGCCTTTGAGCATCTACCCTCCTTAAACTAGAGTAACTCCAATTTGCTGCTGTTTTGTGGGGATGGCAGTATAGCTGTGTGGACCTAGGGTCTTGGGTATGCTTCCATAGCCCCATCAACAGCCCCTTTTTAAAACAGGGGTCCAGTTGAAGAACCAGTTTAAAGGCCCCTCCATGCCTTGCTCCTCAACCCTGAACTCCCGTGGCCCTAGAACACGGCCCTTGGTTCTGGTATTGTCTACATGTCATTGTCTGGAGTGACAGTTTTAAAATCTGATATTGTCCAGATGGAATAATGGCCCGTGAGTTTCCAGGCTAGCACAGTTCATGGCTGATGTGTTCAGATCTCTCTCTGCCTGGTAGCCCTGAAAAGTTCTACTGCTGTAAAGGCACTGTGCACCCAAGCTTGCCCAGAGAGACTCACCCAAGAGAACCCCTAAGAGCAGTAAGTACTTCATTATCAGCTCTAGGCACTAACTGCAAGTGCATGACTTCGGAGCCAGACCTGCTGAGCAAAGGCTTTCCCGACTCCTGACCACAGACATCATAGATGGAATTACTGTTTGGAACCCTTTGCACCTTTCTTTCGTTACACAGAATTTACATTTCTTATTTAACCACACATAGCTTCATAAGGCGAGGGAATGGGAGAGTAGGCTGCCCAGGGACAGGACACGCCTTTCATCCCAGGACTAGGGAAGCAGAGGTAAATGGATCTCTTGAGTTCAAGGCCCGCTAAGACTGCACAGTGAGACCTTGCCTTAAAGGAAAAAAAAAAAAAAGGAGCAAGTATTGGGTGTTCAACATTTAGTTTTGAGCTTCCTTCTTAGGGCTACCTTTTCTCTGTCAAATACTAAATGCTAGTTTAATAATGCTCTCTATTAATAGCTCCCTTTCCCTTGGTTAAGAAAGCAATGGGACAAGGAAATGTACTTTTTTAAATTTGGTTCAGAATCACAACAAAATTTATACTTAAGATGTAATTTAACCTTATGTGATAATTTATGTCAATCTATTATTTCCACAAATTTGATTAAAACAGATTTGGCTTTCAATCTGGCTTTCAGTGGTACCATCTTTTCAAATACTTGGCTCACAACTTGGTAGCAGTCCAGTTGTTTGGTGTGCAGTTGTACAGGTGTAGCCATTAGTGAGTGGCGATGCCCCTCTGTGCCAGCCTCGGCCCCAGACTCAGCTTCTGGAGAGTAACCAGGCTCAGATGATTAAGGCAGCAGTTCTCAACCTGTAGGTCATGACCCCTCAAAAACCCGGCGGTGGTGGTCCCACATCAGATAGTCTGCATATCAGATATTTACGATATGATTCATAACAGTGGAATTACAGTTACGAAGTAGCAGCGAAGTTATGGTTTGGGATCACCACAGCATGAGGACCTGCATTAAAGGGTCACAGCATTGCGGGGGGTTGAGAACCACTGATTTAAGGTCTGGATATAATTAGCCCAAGAAAGATGTGTGTGCTGGAGACAGCAAAGCTGGAGGATCTGAGCCATCTAAGCCCTTTGAAACTGATGGCCCAGGTGCAGACATGAAGCTACAAGATATGGAGTTTATCCGGCTAAGTTTGGTTTATGTCGTGTTCTTGCAGTGTCCCTATTCCTTCTGTGCCCCATTGCTCCCTTTGGAAGAGGAATGTACATTCTGCTATTGTGGGTTGGATTTCTGTAATTTTCATTTTACCAGGAGGTTATAAACTGAGAGATTGCCTTGTGTCTCAGAAGAAACCTGGGACTTTTAAATGGTGTTGAGACTGTTAGAGATGACAGATTTTTGAAGGTGAACCAACTAACTGCATTTTACATGATAGGTCCATGTGTTTATGGGAGTCAGGAGTGGGTGTGGTAGTTTGAATGAGAATGACCTCCATAGGCTCAGGTATTTCAATACATGATCTCCAGTTGATGGTGCTTTTTGAGGGGTGCAGCCTTGCTGGAAGAAATGCATCCCTGGGGGTGAGTTCATAGCCTTTCCCCACTTCCAGTTCACTTATCCTGCTTTTTGCTTGTAGTTGAAGACGTGATTTCTCAAGCTCCCTTCCCTGGCCTCCTCCTGTGCCTTCCCTGCCATTATGGATTCTCTAGAACTGTAAGCTGAAAGAAACTTCCTGGTGTAAGTTGCTTTGGTCACTGTATTATCACAGCAACAGGAAGGAACCGATGCAGTGGCATTTGTTAGTACTTACTTCAGGGTACTCTTAAATTTTTTAAATTTTAGGCACATTAGTGTGAAGGTGTCAGACCTCTTGGAATTGGCATTACAGACAGTTGTTAGCTACCATGTGGGTGCTGGGATTTGAACCTGGGTCCCTTGAAAGAACGGATGGTGCTCTTAACCACTGAGCCATCTCTCCAGGCAGAACTTTTGACTTTTGTATTTTGTCATTGAAACGAGATTTTCAGCTAGGTATGGTGACTCATTATCTATAATCCCAGCACTCTAGAAGCTGGGGCAGGAGGCTTGTTTAGAGTTCAAGATGAACCATGGATACAGAGTGAAGCATGAGATTCTGTCTCAAAAACAAACAACAAAAAGAAAGCACAGATTCTAATTTTGTCAGAATCCAGATTCGTGGCTCTGAGCTTTAGATTTGTGGCTCTGTCACACACATGCACAGCCGTGCACACGCACACAGCCACACTGCCTCCGCAGACATTGTGGGTCACAGAGAACAGTGAAAGTCAGGGAGGGTAGAAGCATCTGCTGAAGCAAAGAGCCTTTGAGGACAGCGGCCCTCCTTCAGAAGCTCTCAGGCCTGCTTGCTTTCTCTAGGAAGATAAGGACACCCACTAAGGCCACCATAACTTGGACCCCAGTCTGAAGTGTAACAAATGCCTCAAGTAAAGCATCTTTCAGCAGACACTGGGGTGTGACACATCTGTCCAGTCCCTTGACGTGGTGGCTGTTTAACAGAACAGGAGCATGGCTTCATGAAATGTATAAAGTTATGTTGCTAAAAAACGGTGAGCAGGCATTCCCTGGTGAGCGAGCTGTTGTGTAACAGGATCTCTTCCTGTGGTCTAAGGAAGGACTTCTAACCAAATCTTCTCACGGTGCTAGCATCCCAAGGTCTATGAGGAGTCCTAAGGCTTCTGGGTCAGTTGCTGTTGCTCCTTTTGCTGCAAAAGGTGTCCCTGAAACTCACAACAGGGTTTGCAGTAAGAGCAAACCTTTGCAAGAGCTCATGGGGAAACATGGGTTTGGAAGGTGTGATACTATCCTTGGTTGTCAACTTGACTGCCTTGAATTAACTAAAACCCAAGAGCCTAGATACCCCTGGAAGGAAATTTTAGTTAAATCATTTGAAATAGTAAGTTCCACCTCTAATTGAGGCCTTTGAGGTGGGAAGGTCTACCTTTAATCTAGGCCACACTTTATGGTGACAACCTACATAAAGTACATGGAAGAAGGAAAGGATTGCTTTTGCCTGGTTGCCGTTGCTCTCCATTCACCAGTATCAAAGCCTGCTTCACAATTTTGATATATACTGAAGACCAACTGAGACATGCAGCCTCATGTACTGACCCAAGTACTGGATTCTTCGGCTCTCCCTCAGAAGACAGCTATTGCTGGACTAGCTGACCACCGTCTGTGGCCAGTCTAATAATCCCCTTTAGAGAGCAAGAGAGTCATGTCTATCAGTTCTTTTCTTCTAGAAAACCCTAATACAGAAGGGAAGGAAAAAAAAAGCAAAGATACTTCTGGTGTTTCTGGAGATTAAATATCAAATTTGCCTTTTAAAAAATAAGATTTATTCTTAATTATGTGTATTTGGGAAAGGGTATGTACATTTGAGTGCAGAGGCCCTAGGCAGCCGAGGCATTGGATCCCCTGGAGCTTGGCTTTCAGGCAGTTGAGCTGCCTGACATGGGTACTGGGAACTGAACTAGGGTCCTTGGCAAGAGCAGTACAGGCTCTTAACACTGACCCGTCTCAGCAGCTCCCCAAATTTGCCTTTGAAGAAATACTGACCTAAAAGAACCTGGTTCCACTAAGCAGCTTCTGGGTCTCAGTCCACGTCTACTCCCAGGAGGCCTAGTGGATTCTGCGGGTTGTGTAGTCCAGAACCATGCTGGCAGCGCCAAGCAGGGCTGGGTCAACCAAGTCTGAAACCACCACATCCACATCCTGCACAGAGGACAAGGCTTGCTGACGGATGACGTCCTTTACCATGTGGATGTAGTGACTGGCCAGGACTCCAGACAGGATCACCAGGGAAGGATTCATAGTGTGGAGGATGTTCACTACCCCAAGTCCCAAAGCAGTTCCAGCTGGAGGAGAGCAAAAAGCAAAAAAGTTTCTAAGAAAACACTAAACCAGGCATCAGGAAGTGCTGTATTTAAAAGCTGTTCATGAGGATACAGTGAATAAACTGTATTAATATAAAAAATAATTAAAAAAAAAAAAAAGCTGTTCATGAAGGTTAGGCATGCTGGCACACAGCTTTAGTTCTACCGTTCTACCACTCAGGAGACGGGTGGGTGGATCTCTTTTGAGTAGGCCAGCCTGGTCTATACAGTGAGTTCTAACACTATGTAGACAGACAGTCTTAAACCAAACCAAACCAAACCTTTTCCTGACTTTTCTTTCTTCCTTTTTTTGTTTCTATTTTGACAAAGCCTCTTACTGCATAATCCAGGTAGGTGCCCTGCTCAGCAGGCTTCTTGCCTCAGTTGCCAACACCTGTGTACAAGCTGGCTTTTTGTTTTGCTTTGAGACAGAGGTCTCACAACATGGCTCAGAACTCCTGGAATCAAGCAATTGTCCTGCCTCAGCCTGCTGAGAAGAGAGGCCCATAGGAGAGTGTCATGATTCCTTATCCTCTGTGAGACAGGCTCTCATTCCGTAGCCAAGGCTGGCATTGAACTCACCTAATCATGCAAGCT